TTTGTAAAATTTAAAATAAGCTTGATTTAAAAAAAAAAATTGCCAAATTAATATAAGCAACACACTATACACAAACTATCTGCTATCACTCTTATCAGTCATGGGAAGTAAAATGTTTATATAACAATTAATTAATCATTCATAACAAAGACATATTTGTAAAAGCAATTAAAACAATTTATGAATGAATTAAATCAGGTGTGAAAAATGAAAAAAATATTACTGTTCTCTTCTAAAACAAAATAAAAATAATAATAAGCAAAAGTAACACAATTTTGTGCTTTTTGTAATCACATTTGTTGCATTTGACGTCTTACAATTTGCACAATATAATGAAAAAAAAAAACAAAAATTAAATTTTTTTGATTGTTGATAAAAATTTTGTGGTATTAAGTAATGATAATAATCATTACAAAACCCCTAACCGGTTATCTGTCACAATATAAACAATATTAACAAATTTTTAAACAAATCCAAAGGTTACTTATTTATCATTAAGATCAAGTCTTTTGTTACTGTTACTGAGCCAAATGTCTTCTGCTTAGCAGACCTGACTATTTGACAGTGTAACAATAATAAATTAATAATAAAATCAAAATTTAAAATTAAAATGTAATGTCGTTACATTTTATTTTAATTAACTGTGATTTCTTTAAAATGGGGACGCGTTAATTATTTTACTTTTCGGTTATTCTAGTTTTGTTAATCTGAGTACATAGTACAATATAAAAAAACTTGCCACTATATTTATTTTAGTACACATGATTAATGTTTTAAAGATTAAGATAAAAAATACACGTGTCAAAAAATCAAACGAAAAAAACTTAATTAATTTTTTTAATAATTATTTTAACAATAATTAAAAAATTGTCGTTTTTACATTTGCATTGCATTGTTTTGCTGCACATTCATTGACCTAATAAAAAAGAATACAAAAAACCATTAATTATTTTTTTAATTAGATTGTATTGATGTCGGGTGGAAATTTTAGATCATTCTATTAAGAAATGGCTAACTCAATAATTATCTCCCCATGTCATGCACTTATTACTGTTGAGATTAGATTTTTAATTTTTTTCCTCAATTATAATTTTTTGCCACAAGTTTTACCCAAATTTACAATAATTTGGAAAAGGGGCACCAGAAGAGCAAGGTTGCCATGATAATTAAAAGTAAAGTTATAAAATTGTTTTAATTACAGTTTAATTAAAATTTATGTACCTCCTAATTGCAATAAAAAGCTTTTTTGTGCAAGTTTTAAAATTTTGTAAACAAAATAAAATATAAAAGTGCGCTTCCGCATTTAAGAAATAATTAATCAAATAATTAATTTTTTAATTATCTGACATTAATTTCTTGATATAAATTTTACTCAAATGCATTTTTGTATAAATTTTTATTATTTGGCATTAATCAAATTTTAATCAATTGCGTTTTTTATTAATTTTTTTGTAATTTGCCTCCATTTTGATTCTCTAGTCAAAAGGCGACTAGATCAAATTTGACTTTTAAAATTAAGACATTACCTAACGTCATAACAATCTCTGAATCGATAAAAGTAAAAAAAAAAATGTTTAAAAACGATATAAAAAAGATAAAATACAAAAAAATAGTATAAAAAACCCGTTTCATAAAATCTTGAAACACTAATTTTTTAAACTTGAATTTGTGCTTCAAGAGTAGCTTCAAGACAATGTTATTAGTGTTTTATGCAATAAAAAAAAATAATTTAATGTCATTAATTAGACCAAATTTTTTTTATTAAATTTTCAGTCACTATAACAATGTTTCAGTTATAATTTTGTCTGGTGATAAAATGAAATATTTCATAGTTTCTAGAAGAATAGTCAGTTAATTGCTAATAATTAATCATTAGTTAGTTTATTTAATTTAGATATGACATATCAACATAAATATTAGTGACAAAAAATTAAGATATAACAAAAGCGTGACACGTGTCCTAGAACATCTTGAAAAAATTTTGAATGTGACACTCTTGTCCAAGAAAAAGATTATGAAAATTTATGCAAAATTTTGAATTCATTTGAATAAATTATAATCTTCAAATGGTGACGGAAAGTTAGAATCACTCTCTCTAATGATTTAGCAAATTAGAAACATGTTCGAGAGAAATATGTAGATTGCAAAACTAATAAAAATCACGCGAACATTAAATGCTATAATTAAAAAATAGATTTACAACGAATTTTTCAAAACCAATTTAAGATTTCATCGATTATATTGAAGATAACGATCAAAATATAAAAAAATATTCAATTCTTGACCGATAAAAATTTAAAAATAAATTGTGAACAATTTGAAAAATTGTTATCACATACAACCTTTTCATTTTACAAATACCTGATTTAATTTTGCACAAAACAACATTTAAGTTTGATTCAAAAATTTGCAATAATTATATTTTTTATTTTTGCAAAAAAAAAACAAAATATTCACATTGATGTCAAAGGAAATGTATTTATTTATTTTTTTAATTATTTTATTCTTTAACATTGTATTACTCATAATGTTTTTTTTTCTATAGTAAATGAACAAAAAAGTGTAAAAAGTGCCTTTTTGTATATCTTTTCCTTTATTTTTTATCATTTTTTCAAATAAGACTGTGCCAATCAAAGTCGCCTTAATTTCAGAATCACAGGCAGCTTTGATGATATGATTTTTTATTTTTGAATAGATTATAATAATACAAGGTGGTTATAAATGATTTTCATCTAGCCAGCTGTGAATTTTCCATGTAAAATAAAAAATGCCGCTTTACGAAAATAGGGATACCTACTTGTTTTAACTCAAAATTAGAAAATCGCCGTTTACTAAGCGTCCACTTCAAAAATAGACTTCAATTATAAACTTGTTTTCTTCCAAAGTATACATTATTATCAATTATTATTGAAAATTAGTTGAAACAATAAAAGTTTAATTAACAACAATTTATTATTAATTAATAAGTGACACTAATGACAGAACTAGAGGTTTCAAAAAAAGTAGAGCGGCACAAATAAAGTTACATGCAAAAAAATTTCAAAACTGGCTAGATGAAAATCATTTATAATCACTCTGTACATACATTATATCATAGAATAGAAGTAAGTCTTTTTGTGCTAAGCCCATAGTCCGAGCAGATTCATTCTGAATGATATATACTATTTTATCTTCAAGCGTATCACAATAAAAAGAAAATTTAGGATTTGTTTACTTTTTAAGGTTAAACGACAATTTTGCAATTTCTGATTTTGACATCTGTCACTCATGCACATGGGCGACTCGTGTTACACCACAGTGACAGCGATTAACTATTGTGTAATAATTTTGATATATCGTTTTTTTCGAGACTTTTTTAATAGAGATAATTTAATTATTAAATAATTGACAAATAAATCATAATTTTACCATGTCAAATGCGTAAAATGACCTCATATTGGACTCGGTCGAGCCGACCCTGTGGACATTTCAACTCCTAGGACTTGAAGTATTTCCAAAAAAAGACCACTTCGACCGTTTCAATAGAGACACAATTTAGAGACCGTTGAAGATGATTTTTTTTCCTAGTCACATTAATTTTTTAATTTTTTATTTAGTTGTCATTATAAATGTTTAAAAAAATATCTAAAAAATTAAACATATATTTTTAAGTTGTTTCAGCTAAATTGTTATTTTTTTGTATATTTTTATTTTCCAAATGTAT